CTACGCAATTCCACTAATCTTCGGTGAGTGAACTTCTCATTGGCTGAATATATCACCATGTACTATGCCATGGCGTTCACGTTCATTTGGATGAATGATTTCATTGAATTCCACCTTCTATCACAAAATTCTGAAGATGGTTGTAGCTAATGCATGGGTTCCTCGCTAAAAATAGGGTTACTGTATTTAAGCTCTTGCAGTCTTGCTGACGCTTTGGTGAACAGTGCTGGCTGAATGAGCGTCTCTTACTTACAGATCAGTCTTTCGCCGTTCCTAGAGAATGTGGTGGCAGCCATGCCGGTAAAGCGGTCTTGGTTAGCTCAGAGGATTTAGGACTACTGGGAAAATATTAGGAGACTTTTTCGGTTATCGGAGCTGTGTGCGGCTCGGCACGGCCGTTGTACAGGACGATTTTGATATTACCGTACCTCACAGTTTAACCCAAGGTCTTGATTCACCTCAAATTTTACAGCACTTCCTAATCTGTTCTTACTCCAGGAATTGTGGGTACTGACAAAGTGGCGCTGTTTACTATTGGAGTGTGTTTCGTGTTCTCGATTGTGTTCGTGTACTTGCACCATCACGATAGTATGCGATTCAACGAATTCATCATGAAAAAGCCTCTTGGTTATGAACTCAGTACAAGATTTCAACTTGTTGAGAATCTGCGAGTACTCAAGGTATTGGTTTGATTTGATTTTTCATTGAAGTTAGAAGATGCACTTTATGGCTGTGATCTCGAAGAACTTCAAAATCTCGTACAACTTCAACTCTACCTCACCTCAACATTTTTGATGTGGACTGTCATGAGATGTGTCTTTTTAGTTGTTTTCGAATTTCAATCTTCTGAAAGTAAATAATTATTTCCTTTCTCTATGAGTTGGAGGTCATCATAGAACGTTTCTCGGCAGAAACTTCAAACACCCGCTCTTTAAAGGCATAGTTTACGATAATTTTCTATTATTTGGATTATGATGAAAAATGAAAAAGAAGGTGGAGAATAGAGCGATGTAGGCGAAGAATGTACCAAATCGGTATTCCAAGGTGATAGAAGGCTTCTAAAATGTCGTTAAAAAAGAGGCTGGACGAGACTAAGGCCAGAAAAATGAAGTATGAGGGTAGTTGGACGGAGAATGTGTTTCATTGCATACCTGTGGGCAATGATGATAGGGAGCCAAAAAGACAAAATTCCTTTAAAAAAATCCTCCTTCATCTCATAAGCATAAGTTAACAAAAACTATTACCAGCAAAAGTAATCCATCTTTTTCATTCTTTCATGGTAGAAAACAAGATGAAAGACCGCAGTAGCAAAAAGAATAGCAAAGAATAACACAATAACAGTAAAACAAATGCGCGAATAGCGCAACCTGCAAGGCTTCGACACTCGTCCAACATAACATCGGTCGATGGGAGTGCATCGGACCTCTCCGGTAATGGGGCTTCTATTATGCCCTAGCTTCTGAGTTTCTGCTTCCGACGGCTTACTTTCTGTTACCTTCAGGCCGCTGGGTAATCCTGAGAGGAAATCTGAAATTCTTTTTCATTTGAGCTGAGCTTTAACGTTTACTGGCTAAGACACTCTTCCTGGTCTAACCTCTTTTCATTCTATTGTTTGCAACGTGGGTACAATTCCTTTCTCTTAAATCCATACTGCCCTTACTCTTCCTTCGATTCTCTTCAAAGTAACGTTGAATGGAGAAGTAAATGTTAGCAGAACCAGTCTGAATATAGATTAGGCTCATAAAGATTTAATGCAACAAGCTCATTCTTACTTTAAATGATCGCTCTTTGACCTAGGCTCTCAATATGTTCATTACAGATGATAAAAAATGCATCACTTGCTTTCACGATTTGGGTACCGATTCCGTGTACTATGTTAGTTCTAGTACACCATTATTTTCTACCGGATACCCTCTCAGGTCAAATCGTCTACGCATTATTTGAACTGTCATTTTCACTGTAAGTTTGTGTTTACAAAGTTTACTTACCGACAACTTGGCTTATAGTCTTCTTTTGGTATAATATTTGGACGCGTAATGAGCGCCACTTTTAACGTCACTTTTCGCTTTCAGCTTTTAGACAGCTGTCGAGTACGGTATTTGATGGTTGATTGGAGAAGCTACTCTGAGAAACCATGGGCGGAAAGGAGAAACCTGAGACCAAATCAAGCGCCACTACATCGTGGGAGGTCACATACTGATCCAGTACTATCGCCCAAAGCAGCCTCGTCATCCATTTTCTGTAGAGTGGATGAAAAAGAGGGGGATGAAAGCACTGACAAGCTGGATAGCCAAAGTCAATCAACTTGGCTAAATACATACCCATTCAAACATCACAACGACATGGTCGGGATGGGAGTCGACTTCACGTGGACGACTGCCAAAAAAACGATTCGCTCAACTTCAAGATTCAATCTCCATTCTCTGTGAGACACAATTTATCAACCGTCGATACGCATGTCAAAATACAAGCACTCTGGGTTTTCTCCTCGCTGGGATTTCATTGGATATGACTGTGGCATCCTACCGTGTACGCGTGATCAAGCCTAATGCGTTGCTCATTGAATTGATTGATCATCAGTTTAGAATACAATTTCTTACGCGTCCTATTCATAACAAATGACGAAAGAATGAAAGTTTGGGAGCCCGAGAAAGGATTGTCATCGGGAGTTCAGCGGATAAATCCAAGAACGAAGGGCGAGCCATCAAACCTCATGTGGACAGGAACGTGCTCGCCGCACCCTGCCGAACAGTAAAAGGGGGAAGGCTCGGATCTTTGGTGGAAGGTGATGATAATAGCAGCTAATTACCTCCGTTTGATGTGAGATTTCGGGTAGAATAATCGCGACCCGTCGGAGCTATGTAGCATTTCAATAGAGAGAGCTTCCGTTGCAGTCATTGACAACAATAGTACCTCTTAGACCTTTGTTGCAGGTAGCGATCTGTCGTTTGAGTGCTTGGTATTAACGAAAAACATTCAGCTAATAGTCAAGATATCAGGTGGAATAAGGTTATCTGTCCCAAAAAGGTGATTCAGACCTGGCTCTGGATACACCCTTCGCACTTGTGGAATATCCGAGAAAAGGATCGATCATAACGACGGAATGAAGCTTGAAGAGCTGGAGATTTGCGTCTTTTCATAAGATCATCCAAGTAAAAGATGTCTGTATTCACAAACAAACGAGAATATGTTATCGATCTTGTACCTTGGAGAAAACTGACTCTAATAGGCGAAATTCGCTTGCACACGATCAGATTGCTTTTGTCAGTGTTGCATTCGGCGAAATGGTGCAAGCGTCCTATTCTATGTCTGAAAAAGCTCATCGCCAAGGTTGAGTTCTTCCTTGTACACTTTTGTAAGTGCGTCTTCGATTGTAAAATGGTGCTTGTAGATGGTATTAATAAAAAGTCACTGATCTTACATCAAATCGGATGATTTCATTCGGGAAGTTTTTCATTCATGCTGACTTTGGTGTCAACATTTCTTTTTGTCATGAACGCTTGTAAAACTTGGCCGTGTAAGTCTACGGGTGCCTCTATACTCTAGAATACCCTTGAAGAGATATAGACTTGAAAGATCAGAATCAAAGTACGAACGTGGAAAAGCTGTTTCCATAGGTGTATACACCATTATTCAGTCACCATCTTGCAGTTGAATTTAGAAATATGTGCTGCTTAATCCAAGCAGAACAGCAAACATAATCTGTTACTGTGTAAATTCCCATAATTACTGCTAACACGATTTTCAGCTGGGCCCCCCTTTTTGTGAATGTTGTTTGTTATGGTCCTCTTGACCGCGGATGTACCGAATTTCAGTAATTTTCTTCAGATTCATAGCAGCGCTATATATAATTTCTACTGTGGCGCTCATTGCGCGCTCAAACGTGACTCCGCTATCAAACTGGGCCCGATTCAATGTCCGAGGCAAGGTCAACGATGAAAATCGAGCATTTCGACGGAGTGCCACAGAAAGATACTTCCAGCAGTTGACTTCAGCATGGGCATGACACTATTTTCCGATATATTGTAGTGAATGATAATTATTATGTGTTATTTGTACAGTGTGTGTGAAAATAAACAATAAGTGTGTGTTAAAGCTCAATAATTCTGCGGTATGCACCAGATCGCAGTGCTGGGGAGACCCTCTTGGGTGCAAGTTTGGAACCAGCCAAATTTCAATTTCTTTCTTCCTGGCGTGAAAGATCATACCGAAACGGGAAGGCGAGAAGACACGCGCGGAAGCCAAACTACCTTCGCCCCTTCTCAAGCTGCCAAGCATTTCACCACAAAGCTATTACAGAGACATGCATCGATGAGAAGCAGCAGGAAGAGTTCAAAAGATTAGCGCATCATCATTTTCAACATGTTACACAGTGCTTCGGTTTGCTTCTTTTATCGCAGCTAGACAAAGGAAGGAGGGGTACACCTTTACAATACACAGCTAAGAAGAAGTCGCCTAATCATCTACCATTTCATAATATCAATTCAACACAGTCATGAGCAGTTCCGGCGGATCGGGCCTTCTTGGCTAGCACACGAAGAGATGAAATAGAAAGATGGTTGATCAGGAATGTCCTGAATTGGAGGGCTGCATGGTCGTACGGATGTAGGAGGAGTAGATGACGTGGTACCCATTCATATTGTGCGTTTGATATGTCAAAGAGTGGCGCATCTCAATAATGGTATCCGAAAGGTTATTCTCATTGCGGTGAGCCTCAAGATAGACTCGACCCATGTTGTCCCTGCATATGCACGCATCTTTTTGGCGCAGCATCACTTTTCCTACTCAAACTGTGACCAACTTATTAACCTTAAACCTAAACGCCCCTTCTTTGTGCGTACCACCTTATGACAACATTTTCGAGGAAAATTCCATTTGCCCTTTCTTCATGCAATAGATGACTGCAGAGTATTTTGGTTTTGATATTACATTTATTAGGATTTGTAAATAAAAAGTGAAGAGTGGAGAAGGTCTCGTATAGTAGAGTTATGTAACCATTTTCAAGTGGACATTTGACATAATGAGTCCGTGTTGCAAGTGTAGCCCGTTGGACATGCTGTACAAGGGCTTCCACGTTCGTAGATCTGAGAGCCAACTTGGTTTCCTCTGGAAAAGCAAGCCAAGATTAGGGGTTTAGATAAATGCGAGAACACCATTGCGATGATTAACTTACTTTACCAAGTGTCTCAAAAAATCCAAATTTCATCTAATAGTTGGTGGAGGTAAAACCAAAAGTTTTATAAAAAACCAACCCCGGATTATATAGGCACACAACAGACCAGTGATATGGACATTCTCTAGCCACACAGGCCATTTTCTGTGTGGTCGCCCATGCCATCTGCAAAATTAACTCCTTTCTCAACTAGCTACTTTGGTAAGCATTAGATGTGTATTGAATTTTGGCCAAGTAACACAGAAGATTTGGTAGCGATCGGCTTTACCTTGGTGAATGTGCTGATTGGGCGACCAGCGTTGCCCTCTTTGAAAGTGACTTCTTGACCAATGCCACCGTCTTTTCTCACTCGGCTCCACCAATGTTTAACAGCCTAAGCACATATCTTACATGGCTGTGGCAGTTTTCATAAATTGTTGAATTCAACTAACGAATCTGATCGCCTGTCTACGATCTCCAGCTCGGTCTTTGGTAAAGAACAAGTGATTCTTCTTCACGCCTAAGAGAGGGCTTCCTCCCAATGAATCCTTGCACTTGACAAAATAAGTTCCATTACTTTCCAAATCGCAATCGTATTCCTATAAATACAATTTTCAGATAGAGGTTGGAGAGTGGTACCAGACAAGATGGATCTGGAGGTGATCATGGTTTGAAAGTTGCTTCATTGTCTATCCCCAGACAAGAAAACTCAGTTGAAGAACTCCAGTGAGGGCAAAGATGAGAGCGAGAACCGTACTTGGTGTGATGACACAAGTCTACACTAATACGCTAAGCACAAATTCTGAATGATTAAAAAATAAATGAAAATACCAATTTAATCATGTTGGATGCAGGCGGAAGATCTCTCCCTCTTTTATTTTTGACATATCCTTTCGCCAGTTGGGATCTGAAATGATAACTGATGGGTGGGCAGTTCTATTGAAGGCTAAGGAGAAGCTCATTCACCTGCGGTAATTGTGCACATCTAAAGCAACCCCTCTCGATAGGCCATCCATGTAAGGAGTATCTGGGCACGTTATGGGGGTTGCTAAACGAGACAAGTACCACTTATTCTTAGTAATTGAACGTTTTTACTCAATTGGCCATCCAGATATGGTAAATGCTTTACTGCAAGTCATCAAGGTGCAACCGGTAGCCCCTTTAACTCTGGGCGTTGGCTTATAGATCTACTTTTTTTGATGCCTTGTGCTTTTGAAATTCCACTGTACAAGCCTACTATATAGGTTCTCCACCGAAGCTGCCATGTCTGAATTGGTTGTAGGTTCCGCTTTTGTGAATGACACCTTAAAAAAACAGTTTTAGTTGGTAAATAGAGGAACCGACTTAGTAAAGACTTACTGTCGTATCGATAAATAATAAAAGGAGGATTCTAAGCAACATATCCGAGGGGCTGGTGTTGACACGAAGGCGACGTGAGGGCTTAAATACGCTTGAAAGTGATATTATTCATAACGTTTCATGCCGAAAAAGAGGTAAGTTCGTGTTTGTGATCGTTGTATTCTTTTGCCATACAAGGTTTTTAGATGAACCATTCATTAATTCAACCGCTTAATGTTTCGACACAATCGTGTTCTTCGGAGTTCTTAACACAAGTCGAGAATGCCTTGATTGATTGGCTTGATTGTAAGACATCAGGCAAACAAGCGTGCGATCAGCTCCAAAAAACGTGACGACGTGTTTGGAAACCATAGTCTGACAAAGACTCGCCAAGGTTCCCAAGGTTTCTTGAATAAAATACGCCGATGGTGACTGCCAATAACGCATAAGACTTCCTGCTATTTCTCTTATACGTATATTTACCCTTTGGCTGCTTTCATAGTCCGCTGGCGAGCTGGCGTGCCGGATCGAGGAGGAAATGTAGAGCGGTAGAGGCTTCGTCTGCAGCACATAGTTTTTTTTTTCTGAAGTAGAGCTAAGGAATGCTATGGAGATTTGGCGCATTTCTCAGTGATGTCAAATGGGTTGTCCCTGGTTGTGTGTGTTTTGTTTCGTTTTTCATTTCAGTGGAAACTCATAGGGTGTAATTTCTTCATCTCGCTCTCCGCGCATCGTATTCTGTGCTTCCGTTCTGCTTAATAAGGACATTAGTGTGACCCACGCAGTGGTGGCTAAGCAACCATGGATGGCAAGGTGAGGTATGAGAATTCGCCACAATCTCTACGTCACGGCTATGGTCATCACTTGCCGTTACATCCCTTCGTCTGAACCGGAGGGATGCCAGAACCTATCCTAAATTCCACGTTCAATTTGCCCCACGCTGCTAATGTTTTTTAGTCGTCTCACAGCTCCCATCTGCTATTATCGCATTCGCTCCGCCTTCCCGCTAATCGCTAGAGCCTCATTTTCGTTGCCTGCATTGCCTTTCAATTTGTTGTGGCTATTTTTGCTCATTTTTCTGTTTTTCTTTTTTGGTTTCGTGTTTGTTAAACTAAGTGTTCAACTTTGACCTACTGAAGGGTTCGTTCTGACGTTCATTGCTGAAAGTAGGAATAACTACGTAGAAGTACGCCTCATGCTATAATCACTGCTTCATCGATACGCGGCGTGTGCGGCGAGCGATGTTCGGAGAGAAGTACCTACACCCCAGCGAAAGTAGGTCTTGAGACTGTATCCCAATAGCTGGGACTTCGTCCCAGTTGCACTGCCTTAGCCGTTTTTTCTTCTGTTTTCATTGTTCGTATCACAATTAGTTATATTCTGTTTTTCATGATGCTTAGTTGCTACGGCTTGGTTTTCGCTGCCGTAGCCTTACCACGAGAAATCTCAGCAATGCCACGGCCGTGCCCGAGCAAATTTCGAAACCAGCGTTTACGCATTTCGAATAACTGTATTAGCTTATCGATGGTGTTGGTGATGGTGTTTGTGATGGTATGATCATATTGATCATGAACGACATCAGCTTTATCTGTATGACTGCGCAGCTTTATCTGTATGACTGCGTTTTCAACGACATCGCAGCTCGGATGGTCAAGTAAGATTTTCTCTTTGCCACTGTTCAAATAGAAGTTGCATGCATTGCCGCGCGTATACGAAGCGTTGCTATCTGTTTCTCATTTCGTTTTTACAGTTTCTATTTATATTTTCGTACCTGCCTAGTTGCGCAGTTGCGCCACCCTTTATCTCGTTACTGCTTCCTCTTTACGCTAGCCGCGTAAGTGATGAGCCTTTCCGAAGGGGAGTTTCAACTCTGTTATTTTATGTAGATTCCCTTCAATAATAGCCAATTCAAGAATGCGCCGTCATCGCTCATCAAATAAAATTGGTTTGCATGCGCGCAAGTTGTAATTCCAACCATATCATATCGAAAACGTAGTCAATATAGTTTGGCACCGTATTCAATAAGTCATTTTATATTTGATCACAGTGCTGACACTGCTGACACTTCAAATGCACCAAAATGTCACTGTGTACGTAACGATTAACACTCTTTTACTTTCTTCATGAGTGGTTAGTTAGCGAAAAGCAACAGTGATGTGGCACGTATGGCACGCGCAGTGGACGAACCGGGAAGGTTCCGCAGGCGGCAAGGAGTGAGAGAAAGCCTTGTAACTATGCTTATCTACGGGCTATGTCATCAATTCACTTCGCATCACTTCGCCTCTCCACCGTCGCTGGGATCTTCTTCCTGTTTGTCAAAGCAAACCATAGATGCGGCAGGAGTTTGGCAGGACGGTCCAAACTTTATTGGCTCAATGGAAGTGGGTTTTTCAAATGAAATTCACAACGGCGTCGTATTCTACGTGGTTACTCAATGATCATCCTAGCAGCTTCGTTACTGAATACTATACGAGCCTAGAAAAGGCACAAATTCGTTTCAAATCCTTCCTGTTAGAGCACGTACTTGGGATAAATTCCCTCCAAACAAGTTCTGAGTTCCAAAAAGCAAAAAGTTGCACTGAGAGCTTGGTTTGAACGTCACTTCCTAGATTTCGTTACAAATAAGAAGCAGAACTTCGAATAAACTTCCTCTAGAGTCAAGACTTCCAGGTACTGTGGAGGGAATGCACTGGTCAAGTGAGATAGTTGTCCCGAAAACAAGCAGGTGCCATGTAATTGTAGTGAGTGCATCATTATGCAAATTCATTGCTGGTACGACAGAAGAGTGCTCGTGCATAGATCTCTAACGCCTCACTTCCAAGTCTGACAAACAAGACGATGGCAGAACACACATTTGCTATGAACACAGTATAAGGCTGTTGAGCTCAATGATCCCGATTGATACAATTCATGGTAGTCCCTAGAGGGACAGGCGTTGAATTTAAAATCGCATAACTTTCGTGATAGCGTAGACCGAGCTCCAGCCATTGGTACTGCAGTATCCAGTAGTTAGCGTCGAGGCGCACCGTGAAGAGGAGCATGTAGAGAACCAAAGCAGGCTTTTTGCGTCACCCATGCCTCCATCTCTTTGATGAGGTGAACAGCAATAAATGCGCTACTCCGCCTCCGAAATTCGTTGTAGACAGGCTTCAAGTATTGTATTTGTAAGTTTATTCCAACTTGAGAATCAATATTTAATCATAAATCAAATATATAACATGTACAATGTTCTCACGTTATTACGACCAATCCGATACGTATTTTGAGCATTCAAAGTATCAATCAATAATAAGGTGCCTAAAATCAATAATTCGGGAAGACTTTTCATGTGAGGAACTATGATATTTTGTCTTCTTAGGGGTCATGTCGGACTACTGAGAAACCATCGATACAATCGATGACGAGGCAACATGAACTAGAGGGATCTGAGAGAAATTCGATGAAATATTGGGCAGAAGGGAAGATAACGATGTGGCAACCTACGCGGCTCTACGAACGAGGAGATTACTGCACGGAGGCGTTTACACTTTGAAATTAAATTTGATTTATAGTGTTGTTATTGTTTATTGACTAATGATGACTGAAGGTCTTCATCATCGGATGCACTTCGTTGGAACGTTGGAGTACCAAATAGCTGAAATAATTTTTAAATTTAGGTGATCTTGTAATTCCAAATTTCGAGCTGCTCCGTATCTATACACAGGATAAAGAACAGAATTTTTACGTTGTTCAATAATGTTTCGGGATGCGCCGTGTATTCGACTTCTATTCAAAACTGTTTAGAATCATATTGAGTGCGTATTTGGTCTATACACTGCCTTGCAGTGGCCAGCAAATACGCCAATAAGCGATTTCCTGCTTCCATACGATTCTGATACTGGGTCAGCGATTCTGGAGAGACGAAAGATTCGGTTTGCCTGGGCGGGTATCAGTTCGAAATTAGATCCTCCTCCCATCCTCCTCCCCTCCGTGCAAAACTGTGACCGTACACCGCTAAACATCAGGGAATTCGAACTCATTCTCACTGTATGCTCAATTACCCGAGGGATCCAGTGCAGTTCATAGGTAGCGCGTGAAAAATCGCATGCCACTGAATCGAAGCGTCAGCGGGGTTGCTTTGTAACACAACCTTACTATACTCTATCGCGCCCAACTCCTTCCATGATCAAGCTTTGCTGCCAATAGCTGTACATCTTAGGTTGAACAGTCATAAATGAGAGGCTCTCATCCTTGGGATGGGCAAAAATTCTAGATTTATGACACATCCATGACAGATTGAAACAATATTCAAAGTAACCTACTCTGTTACTTGATCCACTCGACCTCCTTGCCTCCTGGAACGTTGACGAGTCACCTCCGTCTTCGTAGAGCGTTGGGGAGACACCAACGGCTAGTTCACGGGTCTGAAAAAGTTTGCTGAAAGTATGTTGCGTTCCCTACACTCAAGCAGGAATGCCCATTACTTGAGATAAGAGAGAAGTATTGAGTCATTCAATGTGTCAGCTACAGTAATTGATCCTTTTATCCATTTCCTTACCTTTGATTCCACTGGAGTATTGAAAGACAACTGAGAGACACCGAGTGCAATGGCTTTCGGCTGCTTTACAAGAACACCGTGGATCACGGGATGACTTGAGACTCTGAAAACAGAAAACTAACCGACCGAAAGTTCAAATGAACGTCAGTTCGAAATTGTAAATCTTCGAATATGTCATGCACAGGAAGGACTCCTGTTACGCAAGGGAAGGGGGATAGTCTCTCGACTTTTATCGATTTCGTCTCTAGGACGTCTGTTACTGGACTATCTTCATTTGGAATCTCAGCGGTGTTCGGATGGTATGGGACGAATCCATTGACTGCAGTAAACAGATGATGTATAACTCAATGTCTTCCCATCAGAAACGAGTCTGATACCAATCAACAGACGCCGGAAGGAGGTTAGGCTGGGTTGATATGTGTGGATGTCGACTCGGACTCGATCTTCTAATCATACTCGCGAGCGTGCCGTTATACCACCTTTGTCCCCTCCCTCCTGCCCCGAAACGAACTTATCCTTTATCCTACGTAGTTCTCATGCTACTATACTTCTTAGAATTGTCTCACTTGAAACACCTTGTATGACCAAATATTTTTTCGTCTAAGCAATCAGATAAACCTGGTTTTTTGGCAAGAAAAACGTAAACCCGAAAACCGAACAACAAAAAAGTCATGGAACTCTGCACCAAACGAACCAGTTGTTGTTATTGTGCATAAAATCATTATTTGTGAGTACGTGAGCGAACACATCCTGATATTTTATTATTTTTTACAACTCAAAACATTTAAAAACGAAAACACAGCTCTAGATAGATCTTAGACAGAAAACAAAACCAGTTCATAATAGTTCTCTATTTCTCAAATCAAAACAACTCCGATTCCTATGATCACAGCAGCACTCAGTGATGGTATACCTAGCCTTATTCTACGCAATACTCATTCCAAAAGTCTTTTTCTTGTGTAATAAACAAAGATAAATAGGTCAACTCGTAAATCAAGCTCTGTGATCCAGAATGTTATCACCTGTTGTTTGTAGTCCTTTTCGCATTTCTATGTCCACGGAATGCATTTCGTCGTGAAGTGTTGGCCTGATGGGGATCCCTTGATCGTTGTCTGAAGAAAGTGATTTTAGTTGAATTTTCAAAAGTGAAGCCGATAGACATCGCTAGTGAANTCATAATAGTTCTCTATTTCTCAAATCAAAACAACTCCGATTCCTATGATCACAGTAGCACTCTGGTATACCTAGCCTTATTCTACGCAACACTCATTTCAAGAAAGTCGTTTTTCTTGTGTAATAAACAAAGATAAATAGGTCAACTCGTAAATCAAGCTTTGTGATCCAGAATGTTATCACCTGTTGTTTGTAGTCCTTTTCGCATTTCTATGTCCACGGAACGCATTTCGTCGTGATGTGTTGGCCTGATGGGGATCCCTTGATCGTTGTCTGAAGAAAGTGATTTTTGTTGAATTTTCAAAAGTGAAGCCGATAGACATCGCTAGTGAAGTACAGCAAAGAATTCCGACCTAAGCGAAAGATTTCGTGTTCGGTTTTGTCGTCGACGAGGTCGTTGGCAAGTCACACAGAAGATTCGTACCGGTTCACTCGCAACGACATTGTTTCTGTAAAGCTTAGAGAATGGAAAACATCGAGGCCACTGTTTCCATTGTTTATTTGTTTATTTATCGTATTTTTTTATTTTTATGGCTCGATCAAAATTGACGGAATCCCATCCGAGCCGCTATAGATCAACCGAAACCGCTCGAAATGCAGATTTCGGTGTTCTCTTGTGGTGCCTTGTTCAATTTATATGACTTTGATGAGGTTTTGCAAATAAAACGCTTACTCCAGGACCAAATCATAGGTAAAAGGTAACCTCTTGTACTGGTAACCAGCAAACTAACCTATAATGCAAGCTGGGCCAGGCAGGGCATTGACCATTTCGAATGGCGAAGGCTGTTGATGGATTAAATTCACAGTGTCCATTGCTTGGGTTATAGTGAGCAATCTGAAGCAAGAACATATTACCATAGGAATGACTTTGAAGGACATTTTCATTTCTAACTGATGTTTAAATAATCGACGATATTCCACTTTTCAATATGTAAGTGGTTACATAGTCATCTAGTAGTATGATTGGGATTGAGGCGACCTTCACCAGCACCACTTACCACCCCTGGAATAAAAATAGTCATCCGTCCTATGGGAGCTGACTGCATTCCCCAGTGTGTGACGGCGCTATCGCGTGGCATATTGCTAATGAATCACATTGAGTAGTCGGCACTGCACCCGAGTTCAGCAAACAATGAGAAAGACGTAGCAAACTGGGCCTTGAAGGTAACCCTTTCATGAGTAAGACCTCATCAGGGTGGCACGGTTCATGAAATTACAGTAGTGTGACATGTGACGCCTCGGAATTTACGCTGAAACTACCCAACAATTTAAAATGCAAATAGTTTAGTGTTCCGAGTGGTCTCGGGCAGAAGAAGTATATTCCCAAGAATACAGTTATACAACTGAATACTGGTACGTTCGTGTACCCTGGTCAGTGGTGTCGCACAAGCCAAGTACCTAGATGGAGACGTTGCAGAGTAAGACAAGGTTAGCTAGGTATCGTAGATGAGTACATGCAGGAAATTCCGAAGAAAATATGAACAAACTCACCGCACAGTTGAATTCGTGACAAGTTCTGGCGCACTGGTCGACGGTGACGGCGATGGCAAAGTGTGTGAATGAAAGTCGAGTGGGTCCACTGATTGGTGTCGAAATGTAGAAGATCGACATTGGGCATACTAAAGGGACACACATTCTTACAAAATCGAATGAAAAAGCTAATCAGGCCAGAAGGGTGAGGTATAAAACATTGACACGCATTCAGAAACGTAGCCTATCCTCCGAGTTTCACTCAGTTTCCAATTCCGTAAATAATTGACAGAACTCGGAAAAGTGAATTTAGATGAGCTAGCGGTCATGAAATCCCAGCCATAGGGAAATCTGATTAATTCCAGTAATCCGGATCTTCAGAGGGCAACAGTTTTCCGTAAGAACTACCTTTCAAAAGATTCTTTACAAGCTTCCCGGATCTTCAGAGGGCAATATCTAGAGGATTAAAAGCCCGAGGGCAACTAGCATTGATTTGGAAGCCCAAATGTGATCCAATCCCTAAAGGATAAAGGATAAAGTTATTGGCGTTAATCAATCCCGTCTTAGGGATGCGTCCCCGCACTCGACTTCCATTCATGATCGTAGTGGCGTAATGAGTGTGTATGTGACCTATAAAATGGCCAGCCGATGTACAAGTCAGTGCTTTTATCCCCCAAGACGAGTCTGGTACCAATTAACCGACCCCGTAGGGATGGAAGGCTTGGTTGTTCTAGGCGGATATCGATCTGGGATTCGAACCCCTGACGTACGTGTGAGATAGTGCGCCACTCGCCACTACACCACCTCCACCCAAATCAATCCTTGGACCGGAAAAATTTAAATGCTAAAACGAAGTTCAAGAAGGACCTAATTTTGTGACACATTTTTGGTTGGTTGTAACTACGCAGTGAACATACCTCCTGTTCGTAGATTTTGTTGGCCTGCGAACGGCAACTGAGGAGCAGGTGTAGTTGGCGGCGGAGTTTGGAATTGTTGTGGAGGAGGTTGTTGTGGTCGCTGGAACTGTGTTTGGGGTGCAAATGGCTGTCGAGACTGGAAAGGCTGCTGAACATGTGGTGGTGATGGAGGTGGTTGGGGTGGTGTTTGTAATGATTGCTGAACATTGAAATTTTGTTGCTGTGGCTGCGGTTGTGGTTGGAATGGTGCAGGCGTTGGAGGTCGAACAGGTGGACGCCTGGAAAGAGACAACTGCCATCGCGAAGTACTGTGGTACTGAGCAAAAGTTTTTTCCTTATAGTAAAATGGATACAGTACCTGGTCCTTGGTCGGAGAGGTTGAGGCTGTTGAGGTAATTGTGGTTGAGGTTGAACTTGGGGTTGGACGGGTGCAGGCTGTCTAAAAATACTTAACAAAATATTAGGACACACTGCTGAGCAGAAAATATGACAGTAAATAATAATATTTACTACCACACCCTCAACCGATATATGTGGAAATTCCGGTTTCATTGCTCCTATTACATGGCAGTTAATTGCAAGTACTACTCGTTTCGTCATCGCCGTAGAGGTGTGGTTTTAGTGATGAGCGGGGTTACTCGTGGGATCATACCCTATCATCTTTGTTCATCAACTGGGAACGCGAAGTTCGATCAGATCTGGTACTGGAGGAAATAGATAGATAGTTCGATAGAGAAAGGGAGAGGAAGATGTGGGGAGATAGAAGGAAAGAAAGAAAGAAAGAAAGAAAGAAAGAAAGAAAGAAAGAAAGAAAGAAAGAAAGAAAGAAAGAAAGAAAG